AGTTACAAGACTAAAGCTGGCTGGAGAATGATGATTCCAGTTTGCGAGAATTTCCAAGGGTTGGAATTTTTTCCATTTTGTGTCGGAGCGAAACCAAAACCTTTCAAAAGTTTCTCCCCCACCCCCGCTAAATGGAATTGTCTCGAAATACCCTTCTTTGGCCCGAGTTGTTCAGGTTTGCATTTCAGGGGTCTCCCTTTGGAAGCGACTGACGAGTCCACCCCAGACCTCAGAAGCCTTCTCATCAAAATGCTCCAGCCCTGGAAATGTTTCAGCTTCGAAGCAGCATACTGCCATGAGAAACTATTCCATGGACAATGTTCCAACCAGCTCGGCTAAGGACTTGTCCGCAGGGAAACTGACTAGTGGGTGGAATCGTTATTCTGCTCTGGTTGTGTTGGTCAGTTCCCCTGCATGACAAACCCCGGGTTCAGACACTTCCCAGGGAGAGCAGAGAGAGAGTGCGTGTGCGTACGCACATCTGAACAGAACGGTTGCCAAGCTGAAAAGCAAAGACTCCTTTGTCACTTCTTTCCCATTGTGCCTGGGTTATTGTTACCCGAGCCTTGCTGCTTGCCGGCCCAAGTGCTGCACCGCAATGGCTCACGGATGGGGAGATGTCATGACAAACAATTGGCGTGTCTGCCTTGAACGGCACTGGAGTAACCTTGCTCCCAGCCCTGTTTCTATTTTGTTGCTGATTTGAGGCTGCCAAGGCTGCGGCTGTTACAGCTACGATTAAAAGGGGCAATGGGTGAGGACCCTCTAGGGGAGGAAGGAATTGAAACAGCTGAACCTGAGAAAGGCAACATGCTGGGGAAAGATGCCAGATTGATGGCCCTGGACCTGAGTCCCGAGAACGGGTACAGTCTGATTCAGAGCGGCTGATTCTGTTCCTTCGTTCCTGAAGAGGAAGGAGGTTTGGGGGAGGGAGCCCTAAAACTCACTCACTAGCTCCTGGTATTGTGGGGTCCCGCAGAGTCCTAACTGGCACATAGTGTAGTGCTCTACTTCCCACCGATCCTGGTGGCCTCTGGGTATCAGAGAATACCTGTAACTGCATTCTCCAACCATGCCCCGATCCACCCCCTCCGCTGGGAGCAGGGGCCGCTCCAGAGCCTTGATGCCATCTCTGCACAAGCTGGAGGGTCCTTTAGGGCAGGAGCAGTTCGTGGGAGGGGGGTGGGGGAGCATTTCTGTCCCTTTTAAGACCCCTTGACACTGTCAGAGCAGCTTAAAGGGACTGGAGAGTAAATGAGAACAGGGCCTAATTTCTTTACCACTCAGCCCAACCTGCCACGCAGGGCCATCTCTAGGGCGAAGAGGGAAATTTGGTCACCACAGCTCCATCCATCTTCGGCCTTTCTGCTCAGGTTCCCAGCAGGGGTCCAACTGCATGGGGTATATCTGTAATACGGACACCAGTTCACTGGGGCCTGGATATTCGGACTAGGACCTGCCACTCCTCTCAGCCTGGAGGTTTGCTGTGTGGATTCCATCCTCTTCCCTCCCCACTCCATTCCACACCCGCAAAACAGGTCACCATTCCCATTCCCGGAGCGGCTCTGAATGGAGGCCAGGCCAGAGCAGGGGGCATCTCTGACCTCCGCTGAAAGCAAGGAGCTAGAATCGGAACAGGAGCCCCAGAGGGGAGGGCGGCTCTGGGACATGAAGAGCTCTCCCCGATGGAGTCCCCCGGGATTCCAGCTGAGGTCCTGGGAGTGTTGTTCTGCAGTGTAGCTGAGCCAGAGGCGGGTGGTAACTGGCAAGGCCTTGCCTGGCCTCCCCAGAGCGCGCTCCTTCGAGATGGGTTCCCGTGCTCCTACCAGGACCAGTTCCGCGTTCTAGACTCCAAACTCAGGCAACCCCCTCGCCGTGAATGGAACGACAGCAACTTCCTCCCCCCTTCTGAGTTCGGCTCCCAGCTCTGGAAGGTCCGTCTGGCTTTCAGGGGGGTGTCTATATTGCCGGAAAAGGCCCTGCTCAGTCGCCTTGGGCTCAGACTGTGGGGCTAAAATCGTGCAGTGTTAGGCTGAGAGACCCCGCAACGGGGAAGGGTCTCGGCCTGGACTCCAGCCCTAGCCCGAATGTCTACGGTGCCATATTTAGCCTGGAGCCTGACCCCTGGGAGCCCCGGGCCATTGACCTGGTCTTTGAGGCTCGGTGCAGTGTAGATGGGCTCCGCTCCCTGCTCTGCGTGTGTGAGCGGGGCAGGTGATTTTCTCCCCTCAGTGCTCGTTTCTTCATTGCTACTTCCCAGGCCCCTGGAGGCTCTTCAGACCCTCAGCTGGAAACGCTGGTACCTAGGAAGTTAATTCTGTTCCAGGGGAGTGCTTGTAGCCGCCATTGTTCCAGGTGCTGTACAAACACCGGCACCTCCAGAGCTTACAGTCGAAAGAGACCAGACAGAGACCTGTGGGGTCAAACAGCCGGTCAGTGGCAGAGTACGGTGACCAGACAGCAAGTGTGGAAAATCGGGACGGGGGTGGGGGGTAATAGGAGCCTATATAAGAAAAAGACACAAACATTGGGACTGTCCCTATAAAATGGGGACATCTGGTCACCCTAGTTGCAGAGTGTCAGAGCCCAGGTTTTCTGAGTTCTGCTCGAGTGCCCTATTCCCTAGCCTGCAGCACATTGATGGTGTGTTGGAAACGCACAGCAAGGGGCTAACGGGGCCGTGCCAGAGCGCTCCCCACGGATGTTTTTTCATCTAGTCAGCGGCGTCGGTATCGCTGTAGGCGCAGTGCTTGGCCATCTGTATTATTTATATTACTGGAGGGCCTAGTGACACACCCAGCCTTTGCGCTAGGCGCTGGACAAACAGGACGACAGGACAATCCTCGGGAGCTCTCTGGGCCAATGGAAGCGTAAGACGAGAGAGACCAGCTGCAGACAGACAGGGGGGAACACGACGCGATGAGACAGCACTGGTCAGCGGTCGTAGCACGCTGCTTTGTACGCATGCTGGAAAACGTATTCAAACTGCCGCCCTCCTTCACCAGGGCTTGGCGTAGCCTGGTTTAACTCGGAGGGGGAAATGCTACTTGGAGGGGGGTTCTTTTTGTAAAGGTTGCCCTCTGGGTCACTTCCAGGCTTTTGCGGCCAACCTGTGATGTATGCTGAGCGCCCAAGGGACTTCACTCAGATGAGGGTCTGGGGCCTTTGGGATCTTTCTCGTAGCAGCAGGAGGAAGCTGTGAGGGGGAGGGAAGGGGTGAGACACGTTTAGCCCCGTTGCGCTACCACAGGTAGAAACGTCAGAGCAGCCTTGCTGGGCAGATTAGGATCTCTGACCTTTTCGAGGGGCCAGACTTGGCACTCAGCTTTTTCAGTGTGAAACTCAAAGCCCGTGAATAACCTGTGCGCGGTTCTGCCAGGCAGCGATGGTATGATAGCAACAAAGGTCTCGGGGGGGTTTGACTCAGTGGGGGCGTCTGTATGTCAGAGTCTCCTCCGAGGGGGCCGTTCCACAGAGCAAGCGTAGGGAGGTTTCGCTCGGTCTGCAACTGGCGCACACGATAGCAGGGTCTGTTGTTCGGCGTCACGGTACCCGGTGGAGTTCACTGAATGGGGGGGCCGGGGATGTCTCTTTTTCCTCCTGCTTTTGTGGCTACAGTAAAATTGTAACTTGAGGATTCTGAGGCATGAACTTGTTTTTTGTTTCTTTATCACCTTTGTATTTGAAGGGCCAGCACAGTGCGGGAAACACTGGGGAGCCAGGACTCCTGGGTTCCCTCCCTAGTTGGGGTGGGGGGGCCCTGCTGGGAGCCAGGACTGGGGGGGACGGAGAGGAGACTAGTAGATGA